AGGTTTAATATTTCTGATAATGCTTGTGACTAGTACTATAAAAAACAGGTTTTTTAAATGCCAATAAATGTCATAAGAATTCCTTTGGTTACAAGGTGGTCAGCAAACAATTCAACTATCGAAATTAATAATTCTAAGAGTGCTTTTTTCTCTCCATGAAAAACACTGAAAAGGCAAAGCATGGAAATAAAAAGAAAAACAAACATACAGTACATACCTCCCTGCTGCAGCTGTCCACCCACTGGCTCTAAAACAGCAAACTGAGCAATCGCATAACCGCTGATTGCTTAGTTATTGGTCCACTCAGAACATAGAACAGTGACTGTCAGTCACTACTCTCCACTCTGCCCCTTCAGCACTCACTGGAGAGCTAGGGCTGGGGCAGGAGCGGCAGGCTCATCTGGGCAGATCCCAACATTGTCAGGATCCTTCCAGAGCCTGGAGTGGCTCTCACGCAAGTCAACAGGTTTTAGCCCACTGTCCGTTCATTCTGGGTCACAGAAGAGCACAAGTGCACTCCTGTGACACACGAAAAGTATGATCAAAAACGCTTGGCCAAACTTCTATTGGAAGAGGTAAGTCTACCATCTTCTACAATGTTTTTACGAAATAATTCTTGCATTTTATTACCCACGGTTTTTTGGGTTGGAACTAAAGAATCTTGAATGCCCATGTGTACATAAAACCAAATTTTATTACTTTGCATTCCATAGATGCATTTTGAATGGCACCTCAACACATGCTTGGTGCACTAAGGTGAGCTGCAGCTTACGCTGTCAACCACACCATCTCAGCATCTACAGAACTTATCAAAATGGGGCAAGAGAAACAGAAAAGGCGGCTTGTTAAACAGCTGTAGCAACCATGTTTAAAAATTACTTAAAGGGATAAAGTTAAACATGTTGTTTTTTTACCTTAATGCATTCCTTGCATTAAAGGTAAAAATGTTTTTCATTTCTATGTCCTCCCCTTTCCCTGTGTGAAGAGGAAGAGGGGTGGGAAGAGATCCAATGCTGTGCACGGCTGCATCTCTTCTCCCCTCACTTCCTCTTCATACAGGACTCAAACAGCAGCAGGAGCCATTGGCTGCTCTCAATCAAATTCAGTGAGGAGGAAGTGGTGGGCAGGGCTAAGTCTCACTGCGACCCACAGACACAGCTCAGGAGCGAGCAGGCACCGTGTGCCTCCATAGCAGCCATTTGCTATGGGGACACACAACGAGGAGGAGCCAAGATCATTGGCAGGGGAACAGAGAAGAGGATGATCAGGGCCGCTCTCTGCAATAACACTGCACAGAGCAGTTTGTTATTTACATTTTTTTTTTAAAACTGACTTTAGTAACGCTTTTAACCTTGGGAATAAGGCCTGATGCACACGTGGGTAAAAAATGCTGAGTTTTTTACTGATCTGAAATTAGATGCATTGTTGTCTATGGGATATTGCATACAGTTGAGTAAAGATCAGTAATACAGTGTTATTTACAGAGCAGTAAAACAAAAATAGAAAAGGTTTCATTTGAGTGCAGTAATTTACTCATGTGTTTACTCATTTGGGCCCCTTACACACGAGCGTCATAATTTACGGTTTACTCAGGAAAATGTGACGACTATGTGCAAGGGGCCATAACATGGCATCCACGATCACAGGGGCATCACAAGTTCCTGAGTAAACATCAGTAAAATTTTCTATTTTGATTTTACTGCTCTGTACTCAATGCTTTATTACTGATCTTTACTCAGCTGTGTGCAATGTCCCATGGACAACAATGCATCTCATTTCAGATCTGTAAAAAACCTAGCATTTTTTACTCCAGCCTATACTCAACATTACTCAGGGATTTGCACACAGTTTTTGGTCCCTTGCACACGGGCATCACAAGTTCCTGAGTAAACATCAGTAAATTATGACGCATGTGTGCAAGGGACCCAAGGGCTTTAGTGCAAGTTCTTCAGCTCAGAAGTAAAAGTTTTAGGGGGGGGGGGGGAAAAAATAAAAAATTTAATATGCTTTTGTATTGCTCTGAGCAGCATTTGTTTTGGCCTGCTTCTCGCTTGATGCTGGGGTGATTGGTTAATGCTGTTTATGCAAGGGAAGTGCTCTATGAGGTGCTGTTATTGACCTCTGCTGGTTGTATGCCTACAGTAATCTTTTTCCTTAAAAGGATAGGTTTGCCTTTAACATGTTACACGCTACAAACCTATTTACTGCACCCACTGATTGGGTGTAATGCTTTCCAGGCTCCCATGTAAAATAAATATTAAGAAAATGCAGTTTAAGTGCAAAATCATGGTTTTTTTTTTTTTTAGTTTAAACAAAGGTGAACTTAGCCTTTAAAGGGGTTCTTTAGCTTTTTATAAAAAAAAATAATTTTAACTTTAATTAAAGAATACTCACCTGTCCAAGAGTCCAGCGCCATGCTCACCCGATCCGCTTCTTTGCCAGTCTTCGGGTCCCCAGCATGTTTACTGTGGGCAGCCGACTACAGTTCTTTGCGGGTTCACAGCTGGCTGCCCACTGCGCATGTAAGAGCCATCATGTGTTTCGTGATTGGTCCCGCAGACTTCTGCAGACTGTGACGTGTCCAGAAGGTTGCGGTGTGTGTGTGTGTATGGGGGGGTATGGGGGTGCATAAAGTTGAACGTCCCTTTTAGGGTGAAATTCCACATTAAACGTTCTAAGGCACTGTCTCAAGACATACTGCAAACTAAACCTGGGTGCTCTCTACTTGCTTGTGCTAGGTCAGTGACTAAGAAAGTATTAAAGACTAAGTTCACCTTTCTGAACATGTTACACCCATATTTAGGATGCAACATGTAATCTGTTCAGCATTCAGCCCCTCCCCACGATCCCCTTCTCCCAGCTATCCTGAGTCTGCAGGAGCCTGACAAGTGCTCAATAAAGCACACATATATATTTTTTTTACCTGCAAAAAAAAAAAAAAAAAAAAAAAAAAAAAAAAAAAAAAAAACACACAAAAACATGCATTTATTTTTTTTCTTTCAAAACATGAACTTATCATTTAAAGCTGAAGTTTAGCAAAAAACATTTTTTTCTCTGCAGCTTTATTTACATTACTTACCTGTAATGAAGTAAGTCCCACGATGTGCAAGCAGCTGGATTCTGTAGAAATCTTCACTGCAGGGCTGCCCTGTTGCGCAACTTCTAGCACTGACCTGAAATGATCTGATGGAGACACTCCGCCCCCATGTAAGAATATGCATTTTTTTTTTTCTTTTTTTTAATTACCTCCAATAAATGTATATATTTTTAAGCAGAGACCCTAAGAATAAAATGTGCAGTGGGTTTCCAAACAATTTTTTGGGAAAATAATTGGGAAAATATATATAGATACCTAACAGGTCATGCTCTAAAATTGCGCACGCTCGTGGAATGGCGAAAGAACTACAGTACTTAAAAATCTCCATAGGCGACGCTTTATTTCACAAAAGATGTATTAGGTTTTTCTAAGACATTACAAAGATGTCATGAACGGGAATCAAAAGTACAAATGAAAAATCAGGATAAGGCATTCATTGTATGAAACAGTACCCAAACCAACAACATCAGCTAGGATGAAATATACAGAACCATAGGCAATGCTTTAAAAGACTTTATGGGTTCCCAGTTTAGAGTTACACAGGAGGTCTGGTGCTCGAATTATTACACTCGCAATAATTTGTGGAAATACCTAACACATGTGGTGTGATAGCCGTTTACGTATTCGCGTGGGACCAACGCGTGCATTAGCCTTTGTGCGCAGCACCGTGGGACGGGGGTGCTGTAACCTTTTTTTATTATTTTTTAAACTAACTTAAATTTTTTTGTATCACTTATTGCTATCAAAATGTACAAACATCTTTTGTGATAGCTGGAGCAGTGATAGGTCCTCTTTCTGGAAAGATCTGGGGTCTATTAGACCTTTGACCAAGATTGGTTTGATCAGATGCTTTCACAATCCAGTAATGGCTTGTTTACATCCTGGAAAAGCCGGACGTGCCAAAATACTCATTGCTTCCCGTTTCTAATACCATAGAGATGATCAGGGAAATTCAGGTCCTCAGTCATCTTTATGGTAAGCCAGCAGAAACTGCCGGGTTCAGTCCCAGGCTCCTCGGTGTAACGGGAGAGTCCAGAAAGGCAACGAAAGGTGGCGGGGGGTAACCTCCTTCCACCGCCTGTAAAAGTGATTTAGCGTCTAATCAGCCGCTAGCATCGCTTTTACATTTAAGCCCACCGACTGACTGAAAACAGAGATACTGGAATGATGCCTGTAGCTGCAAGCATCATCTTAGAATAACCACTTCAACCTGGTGACATAGGGTACATTCAGGAGGCTTTAGTGGTTAACAAAAGAGCCTTCACCGATTACACTGCCTGTGACGCAATCTCTCACCAATTCACAGATTGTGATACAGACAGTGTAATCACTGAAAGAACTTTTCTCAATGGAGGAGAGGGAAGGAGGGGATGTGTCCCCATCAGATCATCTATTGTGCAGCTGAGCACAGAGATCCAAAGCTGTTAACCCCAACAAGACTGAAAGTTCAACAGCACCCTGCACTTTGTGGGATAGATTTCATTACAGGCAAGTAATGTAACTAAAGCTGTAGATTTTTATTTAGCTAAAAACTTTAGCTTGAACACTGTAAGATCAGCATGATGGATACTTTGCATGTTTAACCTATATATAGATATATATATATATATATATATATATATATATATATATATATATATATATATATATATATATCTATATATATATATATATCTATATATCTATATATATATATATATATCTATATATATCTCTCTATCTATCTCTGTACAGCAGCCCCTGAAATGAAAATTCACAGAACTTTGGGCACACATCAAAATTAGCCTCAGATGAACTTGTAAGGAAAGGTTTTAAAATGATTTTCAATGGGTTGTAAATTGTAATTTTAGACCCATGCAAGGGTCTTTCACTTACTCTTACTACACATACTCTTAAATTATACCTTCAGTTTCTTGTGCCTCTCGTGCTTCTCTCTGTAGCCGCTGTCGTAGCAGTTCCTGCTGCTTTTCTAGGTACTGCTTTATAAAGCTGTTCTGTCCCATTTCCTCCCCCATCTGTAGGGCAAAATAATTACACAATCATTTTATCTGCGTGATAATGGTCACTGCATCCACAGTTGACAACATATAATAGCAAAATCATGCAATTATATTATTAAACTTCATTTGAGCACTTATCTCTTCATACTAGCAGGTCTTTGTATCATGTTTGATTGAAATTTACTGACAAGAACCTCAAGTTACACAAAAGGCTGGGAAGTGCTCTAAAAGAAGGTTTCCTCTGCTGTGCTCATAATGATCGCAAAGCACAATGTAAAAGTATGCAGCTTCTTTATCTTTTAATCCATGCCTTTGTTCCAGTTTACGCTGGTGCCATGACTGCTGCCCCATGTTTCCTGTTTCAGGGTGGCTACTTTCTCATGCAACAGCCAATGGAGCAACACTTGCATGCAAGGACTGGAAATGTATCCCCCTGCACTGCATGTATCAAAAGAAACACAGCCCCACAGCTTAGGATGGCAAGGCACTCCCCTGCTCCTCCTCCCCTTACCTAAAGACTAACTTTAGACTGCCCTGTCCACAGTTAACTCTTCCTATGAAGACCAAAAGGTTCAGGAAAGCAGCACAGAGAGCCAGAATTAAAGTTGTAATCTGCAACTGCTGAAAGAATTTTAACAAATAGTTTACCAGGGAATGTTTATTTTATTGCGCTCAATGTGTTAAGCTGAGAAACACAAGAGGGTTTAAGCCCAGGTTCACACTATGCAGTGTGGGACATGGCATGTAATTCGCACAGGAATCGCACCGCATTCCTGTGCTAATTACATGCTAATGTCTGCAGTGCGATTTGAGCCATATACTTTGCATGGCTCAAATAACTTTTTTAAATCCGCACCTGATTTAAATGGCATGGGTGTGTTCACCCATGCGATGCGCTTTCTGGCAATTGCATCGTGTTTTGCAATATGTTTTGGGGGGGCAAATTTAGCTGACACCTGCATCAGATCGCATGAATGCAATGCGACTAACGCAGTGCGAAAACACACAGGATTCGTAGCGTTTCCCGCAGTGCATTGGTGTGAACCGGGTGTAATACTACTTCAATCCTCTCTGTAGTATAAGAGGCATGATGGATAAGCACAAATACATCTGCAAGTCAAAGAGTTTACACCCACAAGTTAGTGAATGTCCTGAGGATTTAAAGGAGGCACAGTTAACAAAACTAGAAAGTATGCCAGGCAGTTTTGAACAAGTCAAAAAAATAAGAGCACAATGACCTGACAAAAAAAAAAAAAAAATTGGATTTCCCTTTAAATTCCATATCATGCAGTACAGTACAGAATATAGAATATCTATAGACCCAGATTTATAAACTGGTGCCTTCAGTAGATTGGACACTGGCAAACTACGCGAGTCCTCGGTTTTGTAGCAAGCAATGCAGAGTAATCCAGGTGGCCTGTACTGTACTCCAATGTATGAAGTCAACAGGTGAGTCAAAATTCCTGTTATGTTAATCGTATACAAGCTAAATATTCATAGACCCTGGGACATCCCCAAGCAATGAATGAGAAAGATGAGCAACATCTAGGCAAACAGAACGATTGCCAACAGGCCCAACAACAAGGATCAAGAAATCCAACTTCAGGATGCTGATACTGCAAGAACCTTGTGGCTGAAAACTAGATCTGCAGAAGACTGGATGTCCACCTGGTAGAACTTAGAAAAGATATGAACAGAAGACCAAGAGGTGCCCTTTCAAAACCTGGGCAAAAGAGGCTTGATGTCGGAATGCCCAGGAAACCACTCGCAAATCTTGTGGAGCGAGCATGTAAAAGTGCAGGAGGGATTTTGTCCTTTAGAGTATAAGCTCTGACAATAAGTTGTCTTTCTAGCGATGGTGTACTTGGAAGCAGGATGTCCCTTTCAAAGTCCTGAGTGTAGGGAAAATAGGGAGGCCATCTTCCTGACAGAAACTGTTGCTTTGAGGTAAACTTTATGGTCCCAACTATGTCCAAAGAGTGGAGTACTTTAGTAAAGTAGGAATAACTCAGACTCCTTTTATCCCTTAAGATCTGGGCCATGCTGTTCAAGCCAGTGACTGATAAGCAGGATGGAGTAGAAGGCCCTGAGACAGGAGGTCTGACCTGTGGGGAAGAGATACAGGTTGTCTCCTAGTGGTCAAGTATGTACAGCTGAAAGAAGCTATAGCCAGGAGGTAAACTCTGAAACCATGCTCTACATCCTCACAGCAGAAAAAGACCATTGATAGAGAGGACCAGAGTAATATCGTGGCTGAGATGGAAGGAAGAAACAACCTTGGAGGAAAAAGGAATTTTTTGGCCTCAAAACCACCTCGCCCCTTCGCAGTATATGGAAGGGTTCTTTAAAAGGTTAAGGCCGCTAACTCAGAAACAAGTTGTTCCAAAGTGATGGCAAAAAAAAAGCAGCCTTGAGTTTGAATAGACAAGGGAATACTGCAGTTTCTGGAGGGTCAAGAGACAGTGTTGTAGCAAGCAATAGGAAGTTCATAAGCAACAGAAGAGAGGGACTGGTGTCCTGTACCATGCCACAAGATAAGGATTTTACTAGTAAAGCAAAACATTCTGTTTTTCTTATTTGTACAGTACAGGAAATGGAATCTTTGTTTTAACTATGGGATGTCCAAAAACAGGCCAACTGAGGGGTGGGTAACATAGCACCTAACAAATGGGTCAAGAAAGGATTCGGTAAGCAGCACCTTACATCTGAAACCAGCATCAGGGAAAGACTGAACATCCTGGTAAAATTTAAACAAGTGAACAGAATACCAAGTGGTAGCCTTACAAACCTGAGAAATAGATGTCTGATGCTGAATGGCCCATAAAGCAAAAAATCTGGCACAGTATTCATTAACAGGGAAGGAACCCTTACCCCTTGATGGTATTCAAGATCTAATGCTGGGTCGAGACCAGACTGGAGAAAGCACAGGACTTACCCCACAGAGTACTTACTAGGATTGAATTCTCTAATCTCGCACTACATAAATTAGGCCTTCCTGGCATGATGGTAGATTCCATGAGAAGTTGACTGCCTAGCCTTCAGGAAGCTAGGGAAAACTGAATTAGAGAAGACCCTGTTTGTTAATACCCGGACCTCAACATCCACATAAAACCAGATATGAGAACAGAAAACCCTTCTCCAGATAGGTAGGAGGAAGAGTATGTGGTCAATGAGCCAACAGAGTTTCCAGAGAATCCCCCCCTCCAAAGCCATTCGAGTCTTAGCAAGGAAGCCTGCCATGTGCAGTGCAAAATGTCTCCAAAGGGGTACTCACAACCTTCACTACTGCTAAAACCAAAGGGTGAAGCCTTCTGTGAAACCAGGAACCAAATATCACTGTACTGTACTTACAGAAGCAGGAAGACCTGGAATCAAGCAGTAAGAGAATGCCAGGAGGAAAAAAAAAAAAAACCAAAACAAAAACATGGTGCATTCTGTACATGTGCAGAGGGGTCAGACTGAAGCTGCAAAAGGTACAATGGCAGGCCACTTGTAACAGCTTTGTTTTAAATGGGGGCCACAAAAGGTGCTAAATTGAAACATACTGGTATTCACACTCCATGGTTGTGACACAACATTTTAAGCGTCACAGAACGCACTGCACCATAGTCACCCGGGTAGTAGTGCCAGCACATTGGGACCAAACAGGGCGTGTAAGCCCCTTGTAACTTGCTGCAGCAATTATGTCTCATGCTGTAGCAGGATGTCAAGGACCAGCTCCAACCTGGGTTCATCCTCCACGTTAGGCATACCCCAAAAGGGGTATTTAGGGACAGGGCTTGTAGGGAGCAGGCAAAGACTGTATAGCACACTGCAGATAGCTCATTAACAAATGAACGACGTGCCAAGGTAAGTGATCATTTAGGACCCCGTGCCCAAAGCAACTTTACAGGCTAGCTCTATCTTCTTCCATTCGGAGTCCAGGTATGGACATCGTCGAATAGCACCCAAATTCTTTATTAATGATCACTTTGCAGAAGACAGTGCAATGTTTCAGTGCCATGCAGGACCCCTTCATCAGGCATGTGATGAGACCCCAAACAGAGGACTCAAACATAGTGCATTTGCCTGCACCGGAACACATGGTACAGAAGTACCATGCAATCCAGTTTAGAGGGTTTTTTTTTAAGTAGTGCTTGCACTACTTTTGATGTGGTGCAGTGCGATTTCAGCAGATTCAAATGAATGGGCTGAAAATGCACTGCACTTAAATTGCACAGGGGCTTAGTCATAACCGGTAGTAGCAGTGATCCTTTCCTCTTTACACAGTTGTTGGCTAAACTCTAAAACAGCCTCTCAACCGAGACTCCAGATATTGCAAGGGGTTTGTTGAGCTGTGGCCAACTGGCCTCCCATTTGAGGTGATTATTCTAGGACTTGGCAAAGCCAGCAGCAAGATACCAATTATATCTCTAGAAGTCTGTAGGGGTGGCATTCTGACAACCACCATGAAGTTCACATTGACCTCATTTAGCTTTACCTCATTTACTGAGCTCTGGAGGAATTGCACTTGCAGTGCACAGTATATTTGCCTTTAGTAAAGCAATCCTCCTGCATTTTGAGGTGGTGCAGTAAGATTGAACTCACTGTAAGACAGATTTTTTGGGACTGTTTTTATGCTTGTTCTTACAACTTGTTATAAATGTTTATTTTCCCAACTGTACCAAAATGTATTTTTGTTAGGTCTGTCTCCCATTGGAAGGATTTTTCATCTCTTCCTGTCTTAACAGGAAGTTAGAGGAAATCTCCCAATAGGGACACAGAGAGAAATAAAATCATGCATAGGCTCAAACCCTCTCCCACTCTCTTCAATATTACATAACTGACAGCACAAACCAATTACCTCACTGATATGACTTATAATATTAAAATTTGTCTAAAAAAAAAATGTACAACACACCATACATACCTGAGAATTTGGCTGGAACCCAGTATGAGGAGTAGAGTGTTTCTGGAGGTTTTCCAGCATCAGTGCCTAAAAATAAAATTATCAGGAACAAAAATTACAATTGAACTGTATTTTTTACATCCTATATGAATTCATAAAGGCCTATTTACACCTATGGGATGCAGATTTTGCGTACTCTATACACAAAGTGATAGGAAAACCTCTTTTTGGATAGCATAGGGAAGGGTGATAACACCTACTGTATGTGTCCCATTGAAGAGATTTGACTTTAATTCCTGTCCTGGGAAAAACAAGAGGAAGTAACTTTTGAGACAGTTCTCACCAGAACAATTGCCCTGACTGGAAGTTTTTCTCCCACTCCCTGTTAAAGTGATTGCTGTAAAATTTAGAATTTTTGTAACAAGAAAAAAAAAAAAAAAAAAAAAAAAAAAAAAAACACACACACACACCACAGTGGAAGTACATGATATACCGTACTTCCAATAATTATCACTTCGCTCATCTAAATAGTCATAAAGACAGGCATAAATTTCTTCTGAGTATTGCGTTGCTAAACATGAACAAGGGTGCAGACAAGTGCAGACCTTTATGGTTGGATCGGGAAACATCTGTATTTCTGTATGCCATATATAACCCACTGCAGAACCTTCTAGGAAAAAAAAAAAAAACTTTAGCTAGTTTGATTGGCTATTTCTCAGGCAACCACAAAATGTATTTGTAATGATTGTGCGCAATAGGGACAATGGAAACTGTACACGACAGCCATTTTTGTTTTTTTATGAGCAATGACCTTTCTCCCCTCTCTGCTCCTGAAAACTGTGGAAATTTGTAGCTGTAACGTTTAACGAATTTCAAAAAAACGTCTTATCTTAATTAAAACACAAATAGGCGCAGTGTCCAGACCTGGCCAGAGCTGTTAATTAGTCTTGGAATGAGGTCGGTTTCCATGAACCATGAAAAACACTTTCCTCTGCCCTATTGTAAAACAATAATAACTCAGTCAAGCCTTGTGACTTGTAAGGCCATTTAACCTCTAGGAATGCAGAGCATGCCATAAAACATCTATTCCACAACCCAACAATTCCACATACAATTCAAAGGAATTCAACAGGAAACATTATTATTAGGTATATATTTGAATGAGGAATATCATACCGAATAAATCAAGGTTATACATGACTACCCTAGCATATGCGAAAGGGGAGAAAGCAGTCTCCTCCCACCTGGGCGACAAGGCACACTGTTTGGTATCCCTGGGTTCGAAATATAATTCTGAATATTAATCTGCCAGTTGCTAGAATACCACCTGCACATACTGGAAGTTATTAATATTAGTATGCAACTGCAGTTGGGACTTGGTCATAAACTTGGTTACCTAGTACCCATCCCCTAAACTGGATGAGTGGTCAGTTGTTCTTGGTTCACACCCCTTTGATATCACAGAAAAAGGTACTGACAGGATGTTAAGATGGAGATCTCATATTACTATCAACCAAGGAACATCTTAATGTTTGGAAACATTTTTGTTTGGAAAATTGGACTCTGCTAAACCCAGGACTTTGCCAGTATTCTACCTTCTTAACTACTTTCTTTTAATTCTCTGTTGCATTATTGTTCTCCATTTCCTTTTAACATCTCTTTCTGTAAATATTCTAAATTGCACTATTTGACCTTTTCATTAATAAACCCGATTTTGAAAAGTATTAAAATTATCTCTAAGGCTTTTAATGCAAACTAAAGAATCCCTGTCTCTTGAAGAGCGCTACTGCACAGTGGATATAAAAAGTCTACACACCCCTGTTAAAATGTCAGGTTTCTGTGATGTAAAAAAAGAATGAGACAAAGAAATAATTTCAGAATTTTTTCCTATAAAACTGTACAACTCAATTGAATAACAACAAATCTTTTTTTTTTTTGGGGGGGGGTGTTAGGGGGGAGTAAGCAAACTAAAATAATGCAGTTGCATAAGTGTGTACACCCTCTTATAACTGGGGATGTAGCGGTGTTCAGAATTAAGCAATCACATTCAAAATCCTGTTAAATAGGAGTCATTACACATCTACCACTATTTAAAGTGCCTCTGATTACCCCAATATACAGTTCACCTGTTGTAGTAGGTCTTTCCTGACATTTTCTTACTCACATCCTACAGCAAAAGCCATGGTCCGTAGAGAGCTTCCAAAGCATCAGAGGGATCTCATTGTTAAAAGGTATCAGGAGAAGGATACAAAAGAATTTCCAAGGCGATAGATATACCATGGAACACAGTCATCAAGTGGAGAAAATATGGTGCAACAGTGACATTACCAAGAACTGGATGTCCCTCCAAAACTGATGAAGACAAGAAGAAAACCGGTCTGGGTGGCTGCCAAGATGCCTACAGCAGCATTAAAGGAGCTGCAGGAATATCTTGCAAGTACTGGCTGTGTGGTACATGTGACAATCTCCCATATTTCTTCATATGTCTGGGCTATGGGGTAGAGTGGAAAGACGGAAGCCTTCTTTTATGAAGAAAAACATCCAAACATCCTGCAAAATTTTGCAAAAACACATCTGAAGTCTTCCAAAAGCATGTGGGAAAATGTATTATGGTTTGAACTTTTTGGCCGTATTTCCAAAAGATATGTTTGGCGCAAAAAAAACACAGCACATCAGCAAAAGAACACCATACCCACAGTGAAGCATGGTGGTGGCAGCATCATGCTTTGGGGCTGTTTTTCTTCAGCTGGAACTGGGGCCTTAGTCAAGGTAGAGGGAATTATGAACAGTTCCAAATACAGTCAATATTGGCACAAATAATCGTGAAAAAGACTTCAGCGCTATATACCTCCAATATCCGTTTTGCAGCTTGCATGCAATGTGTTCCCACATAGATCAAGATTGTCAATAAAAAATGCTGCGCATAATGCATATATTCACACAAATACACTGAATGTACACATACATTACTTTAAAGTGACAGTGTTATATAAAACAATTATAGCCACAGTGCTTGTGACCACTTATATATCATCAAACATCAAAGTCCCATACATTCCACAATGGCTTTGTATAGGCGGATATACAGTATTTACAATTATATCCACAGTGCTTGTGACCACTTGTATGACATCAAACATCAGAAAAGTCCCACATATTCCACGATTACTTTATGTGAACAAATCCACTCCAATCTCCACAATCATGTAGAGAAAAAAAAACACTGAATATAGTATGTTCACCCAAAACACAGCCTTTATTTAAAAGGATGCACTCACATTAAAATGTGTCCTGGGAAACCGCAGTAATAAACTTACTGACACAGTAATCTCCAGCGGTTTTTGTTGTTTTTTTTACTCGGGCAAAATGGCAGCACGTAGACTTCCGGTTTGCGGCTTGACGTCATCGGCCCACCCTACGCGTTATGTCACAACATGTGACTTTGTCAGGACTGTGGCTATAATTATTTTATATAACACTGTCACTTTAAAGTCATGTAAGTGCACACTGTATTCATGTGAATATATGCATTATGCGCAGCATTTTTTGACAATATTGGTACAAAACCCTCAGGCTTCTGCCAGAAAGCTGAACATGCAGGGGAACTTCATCTTTCAGCATGACAACAACCCAATTAACACTCCAAATCAACAAAGGAATGGCTTCACCAGAAGAAGATTAAAGTTTTGGAATGGCCCAACCAGAGCCCAGACCTGAATCCGATCGAAAATCTGTGGAGTGATCTGAAGAGAGCTGTGCACAGGAGATGCCCTCACAATCTGACAGCTTTGGAGTGTTTTTGCAAGGAAGAGTGGGCAAATATTGCCAAGTCAAGATGTGCCATGCTGATAGACTCATACCTAAAAAGACTGAGTGCTGGAATAAAATCAAAGTGCTTCAACAAGGTATTCGTTTAACCACTTGCCTACCGGGCACTTATACCCCCTTCCTTACCCGGCCAATTTTCAGCTTTCAGCGCTGTTGCACTGTGAATGACAATTGAACGGTCATGCAACATTGTACCATATGAAATTTTTGTAATTTTGTTCTCACAAATAGCGCTTTCTTTTGGTGGTATTTACTTGCCACTGGGTGTTTTACTTTTTGCGCTATAAAACAAACAAAAAAAGAACAAAACATTTGAAAAAAAAAAAAAGTTTGTTTCTATTATAAAATTTTGCAAACAGGTAATTTTTCTCCTTCACTGATGTGCATTGAAGAGGCTGCACTGATAGGCAGCACTGCTGAGCACTGACTGGCGCCACTGCTGTGCTGCACTGATGGGCACTGGTGGGTGGCACTGCTGGACACAGGTGGGCGGCACTGCTGGACACCGATCATCAGGGCACTGATCATCACTGCCCTGATGATCAGTGCCGATCCCTGCTCTGACAACTGCCGGTTCTCGGCAGTACTTTCCTTACGCTCTGGCAGCGTGAGGAAAGTGCAGCCGAGAACTGGCAATCGCATTTCCCTGTGATCAGCGTGTCCTTGGACACAGCGATCATGGAGATTGCCAGGGGAGCGCAAGAGAGCGCGTTCTGGGAGGACGTGATGCCACAGTGCAGCCATCATTTTGCCATCTGCAGTTGGCAACTAGTTAAGGGTGTGCACACTTACGGTGAAGGAAATAAGTATTTGGTCCCCTGCTGATTTTGAATGTTTGCCCACTCACAAAGAAATGATCAGTCTAAAAATCGAATGGTAGGTGTATTGTAACACTGAGAGACAGAATAGCAACAACAAATTAAAAAGAAATGCATGTCTAACAAATTATGCACCGATTTGCATGTTCATGAGGGAAATAAGTATTTGATCAACTTCACAAAACATGACTTAGTACTTGATGGCAAATCCCATGTTGGCAATCACAGAGGTCAGATGTTTCCTGTAGTTGGCCACCAGGTTTGCACACATCTCAGGAAGGATTTTGGCCAACTCCTCTTGGCAGATCCTCTCCAAGTCATTAAGATTTGGTGGCTGACGTTTGGCAACTCGAACGTTCAGTTCCCTCCACAGATTTGAAATAGGATTAAGGTCCAGAGACTGGCTAGGCCACTCCAGGACCTTAATGTGCTTCTTCTTGAGCCACTCCTTTGTTGCCTTGGCTGTGTGTTTTGGGTCATTGTCATGCTGGAACACCCATCCATTACCCATTTTCAATGCCCTGGCTGAGGGAAAAAGGTTCTCACCCAAGATTTGACGGTACATTGCCCCGTCCATCGTCTCTTTGATGTGGTGCAGTTGTCCTGTCACCTTAGCAGAAAAACACCCCCAAAGCAGAATGTTTCCACCACCATGTTTGATGGCTGGGATGGTGTTCTTGGGGTCATAGGCAGCATTCCTCCTCCTCCAAACACGGCGAGTTGAGTTGATGCCAAAGAGCTCGATTTTGGTCTCATCTGACCACACAACACTTTCAACCAGCCCTCCTCTGCATCATTCAGATGTTCAGTGGCAAACTTCAGACAGGCCTGGACATGTACTTTCTTGAGCAGAGGGACCTTACGGGCACTGCAGGAATTCAATCCTTGTCGGCGTAGTGTGTTACCAATTGTTTTCTTGGTGACTGTGGTCCCAGCTGCCTGGAGATCATGGACAAGATCCTCACGTGTAGTTGTGGGAAGATTCCTCACTGTTCTCACAATCATTGACACTCCACGAAGTGAGATCTTGCATGGTGCACCAGACCTAGGGAGACTGACAGTTTTGTGTTTCTTCCATTTGCGAATGATTGCACCAACTGTTGTCACCTTCTCACCAAGTTGCTTGGCGATAGTTTGGTATCGCAGTCTAGCCTTGTGTAGGTCTACGATCTTGTCCCTAAAATCCTTGGACAGCTCTTTGGTCTTTGCCATGGTGGAGAGTTTGGAATCTGATTGTTTGATTGCTCCTGTGAACAGATGTCTTTTATACAGGTAACAAAATGAAATTAGCAGCACTCCCTTTAAGAGACTGCTTCTAATCTCAGATTGTTACCTGTATGAAAGACACCTGGTAGCCAGAAATCCTGCTAAATGATAAGGGATCAAATACTTATTTCCCTCATGAACATGCAAATCAGTGTATAATTCAGGTACCCGTTCCCCCTCCCTCCCCAAAGGTCCGCAGTATCTGGTCATCCCCTTTACTGTCCGCAGTCTCTGGTCATCCCCTGCACTGTGTCCGCAGTCTCTGGTCATCCCCTGCACTGTGTCCGCAGTCTCTGGTCATCCCCTGCACTGTGTCCGCAGTCTCTGGTCATCCCCTGCACTGTGTCCGCATCATCCCCTGCACTGTGTCCGCAGTCTCTGGTCATTCCCTGCACTGTGTCCGCAGTCTCTGGTCATTCCCTGCACTGTGTCCGCAGTCTCTGGTCATCCCCTGTACCGTGCTTGCAGTCTCTGGTCATTCCCTGTACAGTGTCCGCAGTCTCTGGTCTTTTCCTGTACTGTATCCGCAGTCTCTGGTCTTTTCCTGTACTGTGTCCGCAGTCTCTGGTCTTTTCCTGTACTGTGTCCGCAGTCTCTGGTCACCCCTGTACTGTGTCCGCAGTCTCTGGTCACCTCCTGTACTGTGTCCGCAGTCTCTGGTCACCTCCTGTACTGTGTCCGCAGTCTCTGGTCATACCCTGTACTGTGTCCGCAGTCTCTGGTCATACCCTGTACTGTGTCCGCAGTCCATTGGTTCAGATATATTTTTTTTCTTGTTTTTCGCCTCTAAAACCTAGGTGCGTCTTATGGTCAGGTGCGTCTTATGGAGCGAAAAAAAATGTATGAAAGACACCTGGTAGCCAGAAATCCTGCTAAATGATAAGGGATCAAATACTTATTTCCCTCATGAACATGCAAATCAGTGCATAATTCAGGTACCCCGTTCCCCCTCCCTCCCCAAAGGTCCGCAGTCTCTGGTAATCTCCTTTACTGTCTGCAGTCTCTGGTCATCTGTACTATGTCCGCAGTCTCTGGTCATCCCCTGTACTGTGTCCGCAGTCTCTGGTCATCCCCTGTACTGTGTCCGCAGTCTCTGGTCATCCCCTGTACTGTGTCCGCAGTCTCTGGTCATCCCCTGTACTGTGTCCGCAGTCTCTGGTCATCCCCTGTACTGTGTCCGCAGTCTCTGGTCATCCCCTGTACTGTGTCCGCAGTCTCTGGTCATCCCCTGTACTGTGTCCGCAGTCTCTGGTCATCCCCTGTACTGTGTCCGCAGTCTCTGGTCATCCCCTGTACTGTGTCCGCAGTCTCTGGTCATCCCCTGTACTGTGTCCGCAGTCTCTGGTCATCCCCTGTACTGTGTCCGCAGTCTCTGGTCATTCCCTGTACATGTCTGTGGTGACAGTGTGTGTTGCAGACATTTATTGTTCACATCTGTTCTTGCTAACGCTGAAGGGTTGATGGTCCCAAAGCTATCTGGTGGCAGTTTGGAGTTTGAAGGGTTATTTGCATAATTAACCTAACCCAGTAACAATCGATCAGGGTGCTGGCATCTAGATTGTGGTTCTGCGAGCAGGGTGCAGCGAAGAGTGGAATTGTTATGCAAGTGCGGTGTGAGATTGGCTGGTCCTTTGTCACAAATTAGTGAGAAGTGCAGGAGTCGGGCACCGCGTTCATCACAGTATTAACCCCCAAGAGATGGTAGGGACTGTTGGTTAAGGGATGCAGCTCCCATTTCCACAGACACAAGTATGCACGTTTACCTCATCCTCCTACAACCTCATAGCTATACATCTGTAGTATGAGATACAAGACAAATGCTACCACTGACTGAAGATCTGCAGTGAGATTTGGTGATGTCTGCAGTGAGATTTGGTGGCGTTAACACTGCACTGATCATGGTTCTCCTGGGGGCTCTGACATAAGGAAGCAATAGCCCTGATTCTACCAACAAGGGTGATTTCACACACAGACAGTGCATAACATGGCATGCTTATCTTAGTTAAAGCGGAGTTCCAGACGTTTTTGTGTTTATTAAAAGTCAACAGCTACAAAAACTGTAGCTGCTGAGTTTTAAAAAAAAAAAAAAAAAAAAAAAAAAAACAAAAAAAAAAAACACACTCACCTGTCCCAGGGTCCAGAGACATGCTCACCTGCAAGGCAAACAAGCGGAGCTTTCAAGCTTCCATTTTTGGGTGAAACTCTGCTTTAAAAGGGAAAAAAAAAAAAAAAAAAACTACCTGCAGAGACACCACAGACAACACTGGTGACTATTGATTTTTCATTAATAAAAGCTTTTGGGCACAGCATCCAGATAGCAGTTCTTCTTTAATCAATATCAAGAATATCAAAAGGATAGGGCTAAAGCAGTCCATAATTATGCAATTTTCTTTCATTCCACCATGGACAGAAGGAAAGAAAAATCTTGATTCCTCCGTCAACACAGTCAGTGTAGATGAGGGAATCTTCCAATAGCGCTATTGTGTCCTGCTGGCAAGAAGCCTTCCTTGAAGGCAGAACACAAATATCACTGCTGGCTGCTTTAGCCACTGACCGTGACTGCATGAAAAAAAAAAAACAAATATCTGACAGGCTGGTTTTACTGAAGTTTAACCGATGGATAAACCTCCGTATAACCAGGCTGCCCATTAGTGGTGCACTAAAATGAAAATTCCAGTGCAGAAGCTGAACATTCATGATGCACTTGGCCAAAAAAACAAAACAGACAGTTTTTATTTTTTTTTTACATTTTATTAAGGTGGCTGGCAATTTTGCATTGAAGTCACTAGGGGGCGTTTTCTACCTTAAAGTCAATAGGGACGTAATTTTGCATGGAAATCACTAGGGGGTGTTTTTGCATTGAAGTCAATGAGCATGCGACTTTGTATGCAAATGTATGAGACATGGTTTTGCATTAAAGTCCCTAGGGGGCATTTTTGCATGAAAGTCTATGAGACGCGGCTTTGTATGTATCAGCACCTTTTTTCCTAATGGCATTTTGCCGATAACACTATTCTCCGCCAATACATCGGTGCATCCCTACTGCCCATAGATAGATCGAACCTCGTCTGCTTAATCCACCTATGGTCAGCTTAAAAGGGCCCTTATAGTGATTCTAAAAAGTTTCCTTTTTTTCAGCCCTGATCCTCCTCTTCTTGGGTCCTCCACCAGCGCTCCTGACTCCTCCCTCCTGCTGAGTGCCCCAAAGCAAGCTGCTCACGCCTGAGCCACCTCTGTGTTTCCATAAGACACACAGTTAAGTCAATATTCCAATCGCACACGTTCCTGAATCAGGCTGAAAGGTAACGGGTGCTGTAGCAATATCCATCTGGTTACTAAAACCATTATAGGACAACGTTCATATTTGCCAGCGCACCACGGATCATCAACGTCGTACAAAAGGCTATTTTATTGAAGAATGATCATATCACAAAAGGAAAGGTGTAACGTTTCAGAGCCGCGCAGGTCTTCTTCGTCAGGCATGTGATAACATGCACATAGTGACACAAATAAAAAAAAAAAAAAAAAATTTATATATTATCCACCAATCGGATACAAGAAAGAGGGTGACACCCCATCTGACGTAAAATTATGTCACAATCCCACCAAAACCATAATAGCAGGCATCAATGGAAAATAATGTCAAAGCACATATGTATAACCTGCCTGGAGTTTTCACGTTCTCTCTGAGCCTGCGTGGGTTTCCTCCGGGTACTCCGGTTTCCTCCCACACTCCAAAGACATGCTGGTAGGTTAATTGGCTGCTGTCTAAATTGGCCCTAGTATGTGTATGTATGGATGCGAGTTAGGGACCTTAGATTGTACGCCCCTTGAGGGTTATGGACTGATGTGAATGTACAATATATATGTGTAAAGCGCTGAGTAAATGGACGGCGCTATATAAGTACCTGAAATAAATAACATGCTCCTCACGGGATCAGCATTCCTTCTGTCAGTCAACATAATCGATATCACATCCGCGACTATCTGAACTGTAACACTGACTTCAGTGTCAGTCTTGAAATACCCATGTGCACTGACCTACATGGCCAAAACAATAGCCCTAGTTTTTAAAAGACGGTTCCAGAAACATAGAAGTGACATCAGGAAGCGTTATCAAAATCTGAGACGGGTGTACAGATAGATTTGAGTAAACCGGTAATATTGCACTTTGTTGCATGTAAACATCAAGTCCATGAATTAAGTGGTATGGTGATTGAACAAATCAAACAACCCACTAGGGGCAGCAACCAGGATTGCCTTCTCCTGTGCCATGAGGCCTACTGGATTCACATTTTGGGCACATTACAGCCAGGTGGTCTCAATATCAATCTATCATTAACGTGTTTTCTTGGAGACAGATGATGGGTTGTTCTTGGCTCATACACGATTGACATGGTGCATGTCGGGACTACTGGTTCTCTATGCTCTCTGCTGCATTACTGACCATTGTAATTTTGAGCAACTCTGTTAGGCACTTCTCTAACATTGGATTGATCATCCCGCAAGTGACCCCTGAGATAATCTCAGGCTTCGACCCTAATCAATGTAGCTTTTCTTGGGCATGGTCATGATGGCAGATGCAGAGATTCTATTGCTCCTGTTCTGCCCCCCCCCCCCCCCCCCCCCCCCCCCCCATTTTGTAAATTAGACTGTACAGTGCTTTGAAAAGATATTCAAACTCCTTAAAATTTTCCACATTCTGTCATGTTACCACCAAAAACATAAATGTATTTTATTGGGATTTTGTGTGATAGACCAACACAAAGTGGAACATAATTGTGAGGTGGAAGGGAAATGATAAATGGCCAAAATGTTTTACAAATAAATGTGTAAAGTGTGGCGTTATGGTTTTGGGAGGATTGTGATGTCATATGACGTCAGAGCGTGGGGGGTGTCACCCTATTTCTTGTATCTGAATGATGGATAGTATTATACTGTATATAATTTTGTGCCACTATATGCACGTTATCAAATGCCCGATGAAGGGACCCTGCACGGCTCCAAAATGCTGCATCTTTCCTTTGTGATGTGATCATTCTTCAATAAAAATAGAGACTTTCGAATGACATTGGTAATCCGTGGTGTGCTGGCAAATATAAACGTTCATAAGAAACAGAGCACGGCTTGGCCCTGTCCCCCACACCCTCCTCACTGGTTGTGTGTCTAAGCCAATCACGAGGGAGAGAGAGACAGTGGGGAGCCACTGCTCTTGTGCACATTGCTGGATGGAGATTGGGCTCAGGTAAGTGTTGGGGGGATGCTGCTTTACCATCATGCATTCTATAATCTTCTAAAAATATTCAACCTTTAGAACCACTTTAATGTTTGCCACCTTTATTTCCTCTGACTGAAAGTTTGAAAGAAAGGAGAAGTACAGCCAAAGTTTTTCTTGCTGTACTTCTCCAATGGATCACAGGAGTGCAGTTCGTTCTGCACTCCTGTGATCAGTTATCAACTGATAGCCGGCTGAAGCCCGCTGTCGGCTTACGTCACAGAGCCGGTCCAGGATGAGAAAAGGATCGCGGCCATATGGTCAGGAACCACTCCAGAGTTTGGAGCGCCACCTGACTCAGCCTCTCAGCAAGGCCCTGAGAGCCGGAAGCAGCTACTCACTCTACAGCCCAGCGTTTCAGTGAGGAAGAGGGGGGGGGGTTTGGGGAAAGAGCAGACAGCGTGGTGACTGAAAGTCACCGCTTTCTGGTCACAGCAGCAGTGGTCATGTGATTGCCAAGTTCTCACCCTTAAAGCCAGTGGAGGACAGATGCAGCATTAGACCAATGCTGCATCCACCTAGGCAAGTACGATTTAAAAAAAAAAAAAAAAAAAAATTGCCATACTTCTCTTAAGTTGTCCGATAAGGAATACCATACTGCTCTGGCTAATGATTAGTACACACGATGAGAATATCAGACAAATGATCCTCCATTTTTTTTGCATGCTAGTCTTATACTGAAAAGGGGTTGAGGTTACTAATGTTACTAAATTTCTCGTACAGCAAAATACAACTTCAGAAGTGATATCCTGTATTGTATTTTCTCTTCCAAGCAAGAAAAGTCTTGGTCACTCGATATTTTTGTACAAATACTCTAATTACACGAAAATTGTTAGTTCTGTTATCTTTTGACATATATTTTTGTGCTTATCCTGTTGGATATTTTTGCATGAACCGTCATGATCGGTCCTCGAAAGCTGTATACTAAATGAATAGATCATTGGACGATCACTCCAAATGCACTTTTGTTTTCCCCACTCAATTTTTTTATTGTGTGTACAAGGCCAACTCAGTTGGGTG